CCCTGTTCATTGCAATATCAACTTCTTCACTTGAGCAAAGACATAACGGATTCTTGTTTGTGCTCTTACCCATTCATTCATTTTTCCTATCTTTTCTTGTTATTCCAAACACGCATATCTCTGTGTTGGTTGTGTAGTCTGTAGTTCATGACTCTGTAGTTCATGCAGTTCTCAGCCTTAAGCGTCCACGTTAGCTCTGGGGTTACACACAATAATCGAACACTTTCCGCTTCAAGCACAAGAGCAATTTCACGAATAGGAGCATATTCAATGTTCAGAAAGTGCTTCACGGCGTTTTCACTCTTCCGCTGAGTCTCGACGTCGGTTCTGCGTCGCAGAGATGAGGTGTCCTTTGCTAGGCGAAGTTTAGTCTTTAGCCCCTCGTCAAGCCCAAGTTCGTTGTCTTAACTGGTCGCGCGGTCAGGTGTTTGATAAACGTAATCAGAATCTTCTTCACGTTCAATTTCAATCCTACTTTGAGGCTAGTATCGATCAGCAGTTGGATTCTATTTTGGACGTAAGTTTATTTACTTGCATAATATATGCCTACGTTTGTTGTTGACACATTGTGCTGATTTTCAGTCAGTTATTAGACGGGTGAAAGAGTCTTGAATCTTTAAGGCGCACAAATCATGGACATATGTCCAGCACACTGCGGTACGATCGCAGCAAAGCACTGTGCTGTCTTTACTATCCGCAGGTCAGCGATTTGCTACTCATTTGGTGGCTGGTTGCGCCGAAACACAGTGGGACGAATTTGTTGCTCAAGAGAATTGTGCGATGATACGTGAAAGATTTTGTTGCGCAAGAATTTGCAGTCGGCACCCTCAAAGTGTCCCCCCAGCTCCACTTACTTATGCCACCATTTAATTACAGGGCGTGGTGACGCAATGGCAGAGTGCATTAGAAGTCGGCTTTGAATTTCAAGTGCCAAGCTTAAATCCGCTGAATGCATAGCCTTTGACTTATCCACAAATTCCTCTGAACAAGGAATTAACCCCACGTTGCTTTGGCAAAACCAGTTGAAAAGCGGATAGCAAGACTTGCAAAAAATATGGACAGCATACACTCTGATCTAATCATGCCAGAATGGACGAGGCTACGATGTCTGGTGCGAGCACCCTCTGTAACTACATTTCGACTTGACCTGTCTTACGGCTGATTGTCCAGTGTAGCAATGATCGTGAGGTCTCACCCCGATTTCTTTCAAAAGAAAATGAAAAATCACCACTACGAATAGCTATGCCGGTTTATGCTGTATTATGGTGACACCTCCTACTTTTCAAAGCCTAAGCTGAGGATTACGGTTGATCAGTTGTTAATACGAAAGAATCAGAGCAACCAGATTCTACAATATGACCGATGACAATTAAGGTACTCTTTTGGACTAAACGTTATGCCAAAGATATTTTTTAATACAGTATAATGCCATAGAGTCGCTAATTGCTTAAATGGCAACCGTACCTTCAAGATCAGAGAGCGGTAGCAGAACACATTGCACACTAATAGAACTTAATTTGAATGGTGCATTGATTTTTCGCATGGTAGAATGTTCTTAGCGCTCGTGCAACTGTAACCTAGACGGTGTAACTGCTGTGTAACTTTCTCCCACTGCCTAAGAGAGAAGATGACACTTTCATGCGATCTTCCCCGTAACCCTCGAAATGAATGTCATCAGAACAACGACTAAACGTCTCAAAAGGGCTTCACGTCAGAATGGCAGCGAACTGAACGATCCTCTTGTTGGGATCCAATCACTGGGTTTGCCTCTGCTCTTGCTGATGAGGCAGTTTATTCAGCGAAAGTACAATTACTTATAGAAGTCACTCATATAGAGTCAGCGTGTCGATACCTTTGTACGCAGGTAACCCATTTGCGAAAGCAGCTAATAAGGTTTCAGCTGCACCAGCTGCAGCCTGAAATACGACCTACGTAAAACATAAACCTAAGGACTCCATTTAAACCGTGCCTCAGACTGCTCTTCCTCATCGCCGTCAGTTCATCAACAGACCAGTAACCCTGCTCAGTGATCACAGCATCAGACCTTTCAAAACAGTTTAAATTGACGACTTCATTCGCTACCGCACTCGCTGGGACTATAGCATAAATGAACATGAGGGAGAACAGCCTATGTTGGTACAACTGGTTACCAATAATGCCACAAATCTACGCCATTTCAGATCTGCAAGATGAGGAAAACGCTATACCTAAACTTTTGCATCGAGTCTTCAATTCCTGTGGTCAGCCACATCGCATAGAAAATCGGTAATAGATTATCTCCCAACTAGAAACATCGCTCGGTCATCCTTCAATAACTTCCAATGGCTCGAAAGATTAAAACGTTACTGTTAAATAAAGCACTCACTCGACCAATTAGACTGACTATGCGAAGACTACAGGGCATTCAATAAATCGGACTTAATCATCGCTAACTCCGTCTAACCACTCTGAGGCCTCATATCACTCGCTGTTAAAGTTGTTCAAGTTATATGATCATGTGTAAACCATTTCTCGCCGCGCTGACCATGACTGTACAATAGCGAATAGAGAACCATAGCGGAAATCAGCACATAAACACATAAACATAAAACGCTCAGCAACACGTAGTAATTAGAACTCGGAATTCCGGTACCTTCTGCTATTTACGAATATGATTGCTGTTTATGCCTCACAAATTGTACCTTTAAAGGAACCGAATTTTATTCACTAGAAACGTGGAGTAAATGCAGTTAGCAAAATTAATGGTTGCTGAGAAAACCAACAGTACTGAGCAATGAGACCGCAGTACTTTACGAAAAAAGTACGACGAGTTTTAGTCGATGATCAATCTGGTTAAAATGAATGTTGAACATGCCGCTTTTGTCCCATCCAGAGAGGAAGCTCTTATGC